GGACACCACTCATGACCGGCCGCCAGCTGGATTTAACTCCATTCACCACCACTCTCTGGGCTCGGCCATTCAGCCAGTTCTTTATTCAGCAAAGAGTACACGCGTTCAAACTGTGTGCAGCCAGTTTCTCCAGGAGGATGCTGTGGGGAACAGTGTCAAAGGCCTTACTAAAGTCCAGGTAGATGACATCCATAGCCTTTCCCTCGACCACTAGGCGGGTCACCTGGTCATAGAAGGAGATCAGATTGGTCAAGCAGGACCTGCCTTTCATAAACCCATGCTGGCTGGGGGTGATTCCCTGGTTGTCCTTCACATGCCTGGTGAGAGCGCTCATGATGAACCACTCCATAACCCTCCCCGGCACCGAGGTCAGGCTGCCATGCCTGTAGTTCCCTGGATCCTCCCTCTGGCCCTTCTGGTAGACGGACGTCACACTGGCTGTGAGTGTCCAGGTGGCATAGCAGGTCATTAACTGCTTCCTCCTGGATTATAGGAGGTTTATTCTGCTCTCCTTCCCTATCTTCCAGCACTGGGGGCTGAATATCCTGGGAATAACTAGTCTGAGTATTAAAGACTGAGGCAAAGAAGGCATTAACTACCTCAGCCTTTTCCTCATTCTTGGTGGCAATATTCCCCCTCGCATCCAATAAGGGATGGAGACTCTCCTTGGCCCTCTTTGTTCTCGATGAAAACATTTTTTGTTGTCCCTTACAACAGTGGCCAGCCTGAGCTCTAGCTGGACTTTTCCTCTCTGCATGACCTAACGAGACCTCTGTACTCCCCTTGAGTCACCTGCCCTTTCTTCCATAGGCAGTAGACCCTCCTTTTTTTCCTGAGTCCCAGAAAGAGCTCCCTGTTCAGCCAGGCCGGTCGTCTTCCCCGCTGGTTCGTCTTGCGGCACATGGGGACAGCCTGCTCCTGTGCCTTGAAGACTTCCTCCTTGAAGAATGTCCAGCTGCCTGGACCCCTTTGCCCTTCAGCACTCCCTCCCAGGGGACCCTCTCAACCAGCGTCCTGAACAGGCCAAAGTCTGCCCTCTGAAAGTCCGTGGTGGTGGTTTTATTTTATTTGTCCTCATAGACATGGCCAGTCCAATTTCTGCTTGGGCTGGACTGCCATACTTCCATCTGAGGTTTATACAGATGTCTACACTTGCTGATCTTGTCTGTCGCACAGACATGGTGAACCCAGCTTCTCTCTGAAGAGGTTTGGTTCACTTTGCATGCAGCACAGATGTAGTGTGCATGGTAGAGCCGACACATATAGCTGCGCAGGAAGGTTTACACCTCAGAAAATCGATAGTTTAATTCTAACCCTAAGACTTCGTAAAAGAAGAGGAACTAATGTGTCCTCATAAATACGATCAAGAAAAACTATTATCTTGGAAGTAAGAAAACAAAATGTCATGAAATGAGCAGTTTCTGGAATAAATACTCCTCTCATATTTCAGCTTTGGGACATGTCAAAGCTGTCCCACTCCAGCAGCCAGGGTCACTCCTAAGTTATAAACAGGACAGAGGCCAGATAACGTAGGAGTTAAAGCTGGCAGTGGTTTTAGTTGCATTTGGTGTAGTTCTGCAAAGGTGCTTTAATCAAGCTGACAGCTAATTTTGACACAGAAATATTTCATCCATCCATGACTAGCAGTTTCATGGAGGAATACTAGTTTGCTGCTCTGATTTCAGAGATGTAGTGAAGGGATGGGACTTTCCTATCCACAGAAACTACAATGTTTACAAGCCTCAAAGAACCACCCATTTATGAATCGCCTGCGGATCTTCCAGTACCATGAGTCACAACTCTCAGTGTGCAACAGTGCAACGACAGACGACGCAGGGAATGTATACTGAGCTTGAGGGTTAGCAGGCAGGGAGAAACAGAGAAAAAGCTTTCTGAAAAAAACTGCAGGACATAAGCAAGTCCAGATTAGCCACAAAGTTAGTTTGCTTATTTTTAAGATGTAACCAAGAAGTATCACAAACGCTGACAAGATACGGGCTCTCTAGTCTAAACCACAAGGAAACACTTCTTTGCCTCCTTGCTCCCAAAACTAGTGTGCACACAGCGCTCAAAAGATGTTATATATTTATTGAAACAAGTAAGCTCCCTCAATATTGAGAAACACTGAAAGTGGTGTCATGAGATAATATTTTACATTTAAAAGCAGATAAGCATAAGTAAGCATGAGGGAGTTACCAGCCAAAGAAAATTAGTATCACTTCCATAAGCTGTACGTTGTATGGAAGCAGTAACTACAGTTGGTAACAGTAAACATGTTGGATTGTTCCATCTTTGCCTACTTGACCACCAGCCCTCAGTAGTTCAGTAGACAGTCTTTCTCCTACAAGTAATCTAAGTATATGCTCAAATATTTAAATACTAGAATTCACAATTTAAGAAGATCTAAAACTGAAGATCTTAACTGTGAACAGGATGACGTTACTAAGCCGAAAACGACCTTAACAGGCCACTTACTTCAACGCTTTGCCATGTACAGCATCATTCACTGCTACTCCTCATCACAGATAATTCAGTCAAGCTTGTCCCAGGAAACAGTTACGAAGCAAACTTCCCAAACACTGAAGCCATGCTTTGATGCTGTTAAGAACTCTCACTGTCTAATGATCTGCATCTACATCTTCACTTTGACTGCCAAAGCCCATAACGTTTGTCCACTCTGGACTTGGAAAAGACAGAACTCCCTTTATCTTTTCACCCATACGTTAACATTACTCTGCAAGTTCGGTGCTTGGCTCCTCCTGCTGTGCCACCCCTTGGGTCCTTTCCCAGTAGTCCACTTTCTTTTTTTCCTTAACAAAGTGCAATTCCCGAAGCTGCGTATGCTGTTTTATCCCCATTACTATTACTTCCACAATACAGTGGAAGACTATACTTCTTTTCATACAATCCAAAATGGGAGGTTTTCTTAGCCCTTCCTGGGTAGTCATCTACTGTTGACTCTTCAACTTCTCTACAACATCTAAACTCTTGTCTACAGAACTACTGTTCTCTAAAGTGTATTTCTATAGCAAATTATTCCCGCCTGGGTGTAATAACTTTCACTTACTCCTACAGAAAGCATCTCTTTTTTCAGAAACGTTTCTGAAAACATTCATCCGAGTTTACACAGTGGCAACCCTTTCCTGTTCAATCCCATTATTTATTTCTTTGTCCTTTCAGCCAGATCACTAATATTAAACAGCACAAGATTCAGACATGACTCACACGGAAGGATCTTTAAACAAAGGGCAGTTTTCACAAGACGTTAGTAACGGTTACTCCAGGTACAGCCATTCGGCATCTTCTGATCTGTTCTGTGGTATTTTATTTTCAATTCTGCTTATTTACAAGAGTTCCATGAGAAGTTTTATGTTTCCAACACTGAAATAGAGCACCTATTTAATGCCCTCCTAGCCATAAAGCGTTTCATGGAAGAAAAAGCGGTTGAATCAACAAGTTGCTTTTAACGAATACACATTGACTATTACGCATCACATTGACGATTATGTGTTCCCTCCTTTTTTTCCACAGGCATAGAACCACAGGAAACAGAAACACTCCCTAACAACAAAAATGCCAATGTTCAGTGACAAGCCTTTCAAAGGCTCATTATACATACCAATTTTATTCCAAAAATACAGAGGCATTCATTTCTTAAATATTTCAATGTTAGATTTCTAAAACGTAACTTAAAAAGAATATTAATTGGAATTTTAAGAATTTAGCTAAAAGAATTATGTCCACCATTTCAAGTTAATCTCACTTTCAGTTCTAAAGTTGCCCGTTTTGAAAGTTTTAGTTAAACTCTGTGGACACTCATCCTTTATAGCAGATTTTGATACAGCAATAACCATTCCATTTTAAGAAACCGGGACAAAACAAGAAAAATGCCACACTGAAAATTTCTGTACATCTTTTTCTTTGTGTTTGCTTTTGTGGTTATTCTCTTCTATAAGAAGAATGACCTTCAATTAAATAATTTTCACACAAAACTGAAAAGTTTCTCCACTAAAACAGAGTGCTATTCATTAACTGAACGCAAACTACAGACAGTGCTTTATAGCTGATACTGTACTGACTGTGTTTCCTAGAAGACTATCAAAATAGACTCAAGATAAGAGTAGATGACTTGCTTCATCTTTGCTCCACCTAGTACACTAGCTCCCCTCCCAGCAGGATGAGTCACCAGCACAGCTTCAAGGAAGTTCTACCTTCAGTATTGAAGATGGCAGTTTCAAACTTGAGGTAACTCAGTAAGTTTAAGTTGAATCTAGACAGCAGCCACTGTTATTCCTTCGACATGACTGAAAATCTGTTATAACCTGCCTTCTATTTGCCAGGATTTTATTCTGAGAGTTAGTAACTTCAACAAAAGCAGAACTGGTGTAACAGCATACTGAATACGTGATACTGATGAAAACTTATGCAGTAATTTCCTGCCAACAAACTTAGAATCATAGAATGGTTTGGGTTGGAAGGGACCTTAAACATCATGTAGTTCCAACCCCCCTGCCATGAGCAGGGACATCTTCCACAGAGGAAAAAGCCCTAAGTGTATACAATGAGGCATACCAAAATCATTCAGAAAGAGCTATGATGACCTAGGTTTATTAAGTTTTAATTAAAAATAACGTTAAAGATATTGCTGGAAAACGGACAAAGTCGACTGGTAGAAAAAGATCGGAAGTTTTTTTAAATCAGGGACTAAAGAGACCCAGCCCTCATCTTCACAGGATGGGAATAAACACAAAGCATCATCCTGAACTGCGACGCAAAGCTAAAATTACTTTTTCCCACCTCGAACTACAGCACTGCCAGGGCTCTGAAGTTCTGCCGAAGCTGAGCTGGAGGAACGGAGCCGCGCAACCCTCAGCCCCGAACCAAACCGAAGGCAAACCGGTTTAGCTCCCTGATCAGCAACCAGCGCACCCCACCAGCAAACGCCACAGCTCCGGAGCTCGGGCAGACCGCGCACACCGACCGCAGCTACAGAACCCCCACAAACGCCCCCATGCATTTCCCCCAGTCTCGGCCTCCAACCGCAGCAAGCTTCCCACCGCGGAGGAACCGGCAGGGCGAAGCGC